AAAACCAAACCAAACTCATAGAAAAAGAGATCAGACTTGTGGTTATAAGAGGCAGAGGGTGGAGGGAAGGGGAAATGAAGGAAAATGGTTAAAATGTACAAACTTCCAGTTGTAAGATACATAAGTATTAGATATGTAATTACAACAGGAGACTGTAGCTAATACTCCTGAAGGATATATAGGAAAGTGGTCAAGAGGGTAAATCTTGAGTCCTCATCCACAAGGAGAATTTTTTTTTCCTTTTATCTTTTTAGTTAATCTATATGAGAAGATGGACATTAGCTGAACCTACTGTGGTAATCATTTCACAATATATGTAAATCAAACCATCATGCTGTGTGCCTTAAACTTACACAGTGATGTACATAAACTATCTCTCAGTAAAACTGGAAAAAGTTCTTTATTTAAGGTTTTATGAATGGAGAGTTATACCGTGATTCATAAAGGTTCTGAACACCTTAAGTTTGGACCTATGGGAGTTCACAGAGTTAGCGAGGAAAAGTGGAAGGGAAAGTCAGTACACACCCCCCCAAACCCCCTTATCCCCCCGCCCCCACATACCCACATACCTCAGCTTCTCAAACAGGGTAACAGTAAACCAAGGTTCACTTATAGAGCTCCCATAACAAATGAGCATATGATGAGCATTTGAGAAAGAAATACACATCCATCAAGGAAATGCTTAAGTTCTTGGGAATCTGGGATGAGAAGGAGGAAAAAAAATGTCTTACAAATGAAAAGAAATGAGAAAATTACGGAAACTCTCTGTGGTGTATTCTTTGTTAAAAACTGCAACTAGGAGTTTATGTCTGCATTTAGACCTCTGAGCTGAGATGCATTCCTCCACACCATGACCTAGAGAAAATGGATCTGTGTGCCCTTTAATCCATGACCACTGTAGATCAAGTTACCTCTTTGAAAGGACTTTTCTTTCCCTGGCCAACTAAATGAACTGAAATTGATGTACTTAATTGTTTTCTAAATTGCAATTTTTCTCCCCCAGATGTTTTTTATCAATGTTGAACCCAATGGGCTCTGTCAGTCACATGGGGAGATGAAGTCATGTGGTAGGTAATAAAAGGGAAGGGGTGGGGAGGGAGGGAAATGCCATACAGCATATCGTCTAATTGAAAAATGTGCCATATAAATACTGGACTTGAAACTTCTCCTTCCCCAAGGGCTGCTCACAACAAACAATGCACCTATCTTCTGCCCTGGAAAGACTAGACATCTCCCCTTCCTTCATTATTAATTCAGGTCAGTGCAAGAGTTTCCTTCCTTTGCCTTTCTTGGGTGAAGTCACTCTACTGGAATTGTGATGTGAGGCAACAAAATTCCAAAGTGAAAGCTAAGCTTAAGTGCAGAAGGTAAGGGCATCAGGACGAGAGGTTGGGGGTTAGGATGATGGCGATGAAGGATGGCATTAGACTAAGCTCTAATCTTGTACAGGGGAGAATGAGAACTAGCAACAACATCCAAGGATGTGTCTGAGAAGATAATACAACCTGTAACGGAGGAGAATTCTGGGGGGAATATGGCACTTGGGAAAGTCAGAAAAATACCAGGTTCAAATACATACCAATGAAAGCTAGAAATGTAAAGTAGTGTGGAGTGGGAAGGACTGACAAAAGGGGAAGGGTGGATGTGTTTCTCACAGCAGGAAGGAGAGGGCTGCAGGTGTAGGACCCACGTCAGCACTTGAGACAGGAAGACAAGGAGAGAGCTGATGCTCATGAACAAACCGAAAGACATGAAGGAAAGACCCCTCCCCCAATTCCTCACGGTGGAAAATAGGTAGGAACTGGCTGCGGTACAAAAGCGTGGGTCTGAGAGATTTTTCTAGTCTTCCACCTATCTTTATGAGCCCTGTACTTTTACCCTGATTGTGTAAAATCAGTCCAGTTTTTCAGACTCTTTGGGAATAGGAATGTACCAATGAGATGGTAACTAAAGGGTTTTTATTAGCTCGATCAAGAAGACCTCCGTCTTGTATCAGGAAAAAAGCTTCTTTCCTCTTGTCCTGTTGTCACTGAAGATGGAGGACACCTGGTCATTATAGAAGAAATCCAACAAAGCACTCATTTCATTTTTCACTCGTTTAGTTTAGCTGTACCTCACATTTGACAAAAACAAACTCCAGGGACTTCTTCAAGTTCTTTGATTGCACTGGAATCTGAATGAACCACCCACTTCTTTGAAATATGAAGACGATTGCCTAAGGTTTATAATGCTGTGTAATTTGCTTTGTAGTGATATTGGAGTAACTAGATTCAAACTGCGTGAGAGTAAACCATACAAAATACCAAAGCTTTAGGGGGAAATAATCACAGTATTTTACGATGTCAATGATAGGGGTTTTGTCTAGGCTCTAAAATTTACCTTAACCTCTCAGTTCTTCTCTGGATTAAAATCATCATCATCATCATCATCATCACATCAACATCAATTTTGTCTCATCTTCTTATTCCTCTTTGTCTTTTTCTCCTATTTTCCCCTCTTTTCCTTCCTTTTATCCCCCCTCCTTCTTTTCCTTATTCTTTTTCTTGCCTCTTTTCCTGCTTTCTCTTTTCAAAAGTTCGTTTGCCTTAGACTTGTACCTCATTTTGCTAAGATGACTGCCACAGCTCCCAGCATCACATTCTCACTTCATTACATTTATGCACAGAAGAAAAATGTTTTCCCTGTGAGATTTTGTATTTTTTGTTAAAAAAAAAGAAAGAAAATAGTTTTCAGAAGCTTCTCCCACCTCCCACCATAAGACTTTCTCTCATGTTTCATTAGCCAGAGCTGGGTCACATGCCAACCTCTGATCACTGGCAAAGGGAAAGGATTGGCAAGTGGGGCTGGAGAAGGGGCTAACCTTCTTCAAAAGTATGGAATCTGTTTGCTACCTAAATCTATTTGGAGTTTAATTAGCAGGTAAGAGGGGGAGATGGATGCTAGGTAGGTACTGAGGTACTGAAGTATCTGCTACCCTACCTTATCCGTTTCACAGAGAGCTACGTCCTCCTTAATCTCCTCCGACTGAGAGCAGACCCATACGGAATATTTTGCCTGATGGAAACAACGATGGTGAGGAAACCAGAATCCCACGAAAGATTATAGTGGGTTTGACTCCTTTCAAACTTTCAGATATTCTGTTAGTATTCCAATCAAAATAGTAGGAGAACTTTGAGCAGGAAAGTGGAGGAGAATGATTCAAAATTAAACAGCCAGACAAGCTTTATTTTTTTGAGAGGCTATGGACAAGTGAGGGACAGGTATGTAAGTAAGTAAACATATGTCACTAAAGATGGATGAAGCTTTACATTTGCCACGGCACATGAGGAAACAGAGCTAATGACAGTCATGACAACGGAGTGAAGCAGTCAGAGGCTTTGGAAAGGCCTGAAAGATTCAGAAATAGCATTCAGACTTTTTTTTTTGGTGAACCCAACACAATGTGCCAAGGACCTTAAGGATCATCTAATACCCAAGACAGCTAATAATAAAAATAACATTACTATATAGTGTTATGTGTCAATCACTGTTCTTAGCACTTCACCCACATGAAGTCATTTAACAGTTGACCCTGCACTATGAGGTAAGGTCAGCCATCATCCAGCTTTTCCGATGAGGAAACCGTGGCTCAGCCAGGTGAAGCACTTCCCAAGCTTACACAGCTAGTAAAAGGCAGGCTTGTGGTGTTTGCTGTCATTATTGTTAGTGTCTTACGTTCTTCCAATACATTATTTGTGTGCGTCTGTTTTGTGTTCAATGATTGCTTCTTTCAAATAATCACATCAAGAAGCCTTAGAACATCTATTTCCTTAACAGCAGACTCAGGAAAATTTGGATATTTACGCATTTCACTCTTCAACATAAGCACTTTTTGGAAATGATTACTGATTCCATCAAGGGGCTGTCTCAACCACAATCACACGGTTCAAAGTAAACATCGACTGGGCTAAGGCAATAGAGGCAGGCTGAAATAAACCAAATAGTTCCAAACAATTAATCCACATCCTTCATTTGTGTTAAAGCAATAATTTGAATGGCAAGATATTGTGCACTATCCCATAATCTTTAAGACAGTGTAACGGGCTTTTTGACATTTAAGGTAATTACACTGAGATTGGGAAAGCAATCGACTTGATTCAGTAGAGGTTTATCCACTGGCTCATTTCTTTTCTATCTCACCATTCTAGAGATCACTTTTCAGTTTAGAGTTTACCAGGGACATTGTGATTGCGTCTTCAGTTAGCATGGAGCAGTGCAGCCTGGGAGGAAGGGACAGTTCCTTGGCAGTGTCTGTGCTTTCAATAGTCATGGCTTCCTCAGCTGTCTTCCTTTGTCCCATTTCACGGCTAATGGGCTTGGATCAATTTTAGAACCACAGCCCGATATTTTAAACCTGGCAGCCATAAGTTTTACCTTTTCATTCACTTGAATCTATCATTTCGTTATACTACTACCAGCTGGAGCATTCACCAATCTAGTTCAAACATTTTGGGGTGTCTTGTCAAGGAACTGTTTATTGTGAGAATTCTCCTAATGACTAACAACCTTCCTGTGATTGATGGAGCAGGGCCCATTCCAACAGCTCTTGCTCCTCCATGAGCGGCACGTCCAAAGCTGCTGGCCACTAACGGTCCATCTAGCTGCTGCAATACTGTAAAGGCCAGAGACAGAATTTGAACCAGGTATTCTAGCTCTAGAGTTCATGTTCTTAACCCCTACCCATACTATCTAGAGTCTGAATTTTTCGCCACTATATTGGAATACTGAAGTCTGAGTTTTTCACCACTATTGTGGAGTACTGAAGGGTTATAAATTCAAAAGCACAGCCAAATGGGAGGGACACATCAAGACCGTGCTATAGGGTTGAAAAGAATAGGACACACATAGCAACGATGAATTGGACCACGTGGGGAAAGAAATGAGGGACAGTTATGTTTCGAATGGAAACATGTTGGAGGAGGAGAAATTTGTAGAGAAATAATCAGATGTTTCAGGTTGGCTGCTAACCAACCGAGTTCTTACGTTTCCCACCTGAGAGGAGAGTAGAGTGAGTTGATGGGGGGGGGGCTGCTGTTCTGGTGGTTCTTTTATTCTTTCTTTCTCACCATCTCTCTGGCCTTTCTGATTCACATGAGCCATGACATCACTATAAGGCTGCTCTACCAGAGTAACTTGTCCTGAAGAAGGAGAAGGTACCCTCTGATATGCCATATACTTACAGTGGGATGGAGGATGGGAAGAGAGGCCTTCGTTTTGGAAGCATTTCTTGTTTAATCAGGGATGTAGCCCTCAGTGACAACCTCTACCTATCAGATGATAGATGTGGCAGCGGGCCATCCATCCATGGTCTTAGGACAATACCAGGATACCTTTGAGGCTTAGCTCACAATGTAGTAATTTCGTCTGTTTGTCATGTGGCATGGCAGAATGTACTTTCAGAACCTTGTTTTCATGGTCTGGTGGCGAACAGCATTTTGGGGATAATGATTCAATTATCCTTAATTCACAAAGAAGCAAGTCAGAAAGTATGTTCATATATGCATCTGCCTGAAGGTCAGATAGAAGCATGGAAATCCATGACAGACTTGCAGGACATCCCAACCTCCATCTGCATGCAGCCTGATAAAACTGTACTTTCATAGAATTAGAGACTTATGGCATTTAAGACATTTTAAACCTTTCTCTTTACAGATGAGAAAACTGAAGCCAGGAGAGAATAAACAATTTATCAAATTAAACTAGAGATAGCTAGTACTTACTGTAACACATGCTATTTGACCCAGGATCCAGTGCTCTTTCCCACACACCCACCTCCTTGGATCAATGATGTTCTCTGGAAATGCGAAGAATGATTATTACTGGGACAAGCAGTGTAGAGAAGGGACTTCAGAAACTGACTAGGGCGAGGAGGGAGAGCTAACCAGTCTGACTCAGCACTTTGCTTGACTCTGAGGCTGACTGGATGCTAAATTGTAGGAGGCTGCATCCCAATGACTGAAATCCTTTTTTGGGGAGAAATCTTCTCACCCACATGAAAGTAAGGAATTCTTCCATATGCACTTAAGTACTACCATTGAGGGAATTCAAAGAGGTCATTTACCAAATAGCTCCTTTACCCTTCCCACCAAAAATTCATTGCTTAAGTTTACGGGAGTGGTTTTTTGAAAACTGGCTGGCCCAACATTAAGTTGCATTCTAAACTGAATCACTTGCCTTTCTTCTTACTTCTCCTTTCTCTTTACCACTCTCCAGGATTTTACTTTACTTTTTAAATGAAAAATGGTTCTGTAAAGGTAATATCGGTTCTTGGTTTTTAAAAAAAGAAAAAAAAGTGAGAAGAAAACTTCCATCTGAATTTTGACCCTTAGGCTTCTAGTTCTGTTTCCTAAAGACAAATCCTTAAACAAACGTCTTCTGTTTCCTTAGACAATGTCTTTTTAAGTATATGTTAATATATAACAGCTTCTTTTTATACACATGGTAGTATATTATTCTCAGAGTATTGTACCCTGCCTTTTTTCACCTAGTGTTTCTTTAAAATTATTCTCTATTATGTGGAGATTTACCTCTTTTATTTTAATTATACTTAAACTTTAAAAGGTTGATAAAACAGATCCTATTTCATTCTGTTAGTTCCCTTCTTTCTGGTGCCTGTTGGGAGGCCAAATTCTAGGAGATGAGTTGAACAGAGATTATATGAACTGGTCCAGGAAGGCCTATGGCATCTAAGGCCCCCAAATTCAGGAGCCCCTCTCCACGTAAGCTTCCTGGGTGACTGTTTTATAACGAAATTAGCTCTGATTCTCAGATGACCTTCCCTATCTGGCTCAGAGAGGGTTAGCAGGGTCCTGGGAAGCCAATTTGCCTCGCCTTTGTCTTCTTGGCTGTTCTGTCTTTGAAGGAGCATTGCAACGCTACTCTGCGATTTCTTGAGGAGACATTGGGGTTTGCTGGCAGGCAGAACCCCAGGCTACTCCGTGGAATGTCTTTGGTTTTGTAGCTTCAGGAGGAGCCAGGAGGCTGCGCTTGCAGGCCAAGGGAAACACGGCTTCAGACTCAAGACCACGACTTGGCGGACACTCTGGGGCCTGCAGAATTTTGGAGAGGGCTCTCTCCTACCCGTTACTTACCCGAACCACTCTTTCCCGCTAAAGGTTAGAGGAGGATGGAGTGACTGGAGAAATCTGGTTTAGTCACTAGCACAGAACAACTGCCCGGGTGGAACGGATTCCTGTCTGCCTTTGGTCCAACAGGAAAGGCGAGTGCCTGCTTCCTTAGCTGGGAAGAAAGGAGAAAGAAGCCAGAGTCAAAATCAGACATCTCAAGTGTCAGTTGTGGACTGTGCTTAGACAAATAATCTCGAGGAGACCCAAATCCCCTGTTCACTGGGAAAACAGACAGTGCCAGAGCGAAACAGAATTAAATTGTTTCTCTTTCACGGCAGCTGAAGTGTAAAAACCATTCTATTCCGACCTTGTGGTCAGAATATCCTGACACCTCATAAATTATCTGAAGGGCTCAGGGCTGGGAGTCTGGGGAAGGCGGGAAGGCCAGCTCCAGTCCCGCCAGCCCTGCGGCCGCAGCGACAGCCCCGGCCTCCCGCCCGGCCTTCCTGATCGCGGGCACCGACGTGGGGATGTGGAGGAATGCAGTTTCCTCAAAGCCCTTAGTCTTTCTGCGTTGGGACAAGGATGCTCCCCTCCTTTCCTGGTTTTAGAGTTTGCATGGCCACAGGGCCTACTTTCCTGAGTGGCTTATTTAGAGGCAGGAGAAACACAGTGATAGCTTCCCCAGGCTGACAGGCCCTGAGCAGTGCTGTCTCGGCAGAAAAAAGAGAAAGGGGAAGGGGGAGAGGAGAGAGTGAGAGAGACACAAACGAGGGAGAGACGAAGAAAGAAAATGAATAAAGGAAAAGGAAGGAGGAAAGAGGAAATGTAAGTGAGAGAAAGACAGTCAGTGGCGGCCTCCCCTCCCCCCACCTTTCCCCCCTCCCTACCCTCCCCCCACACCCATCTGGTTACCAGGAAACAAAGGCCAGCCTGGACCTCTTGCATCTCTCCGCCTCCCGGTGCGCTTCCTTTAGCTCCTACATCCATCTGTGCTCCACACACAGTAGGTGCTCTGTAAATGTTTGCTGAGTGGAAGGAGCCACGGATGGGTCCCCTGAGAGAGGGGAAACAGATCTATTTTGGGAAACCAAAGTCATTTGGAGCAAACAATATTCCTGTAGCTCAAATCACCATCAGGTTTAAAGACTCTGGGCCGTTGTGGGTGTGTTGGGATGTGTTGTGTGTGGGAGCGTGAGTGGGTGGTCTGGATGGGTGGGTAATAAGTGACAGGAGGGCCCTTGAAAATATAAAGGCTTCCATAACTACTGTAAAAATAAAACTGGGAACAGCATGCCCAGACCTCCAGCCATGCGGTGACCAAGCCTGACCTTGGCAGGGATGAATAATATTGTGGAGATGGATTCAAGAATTATTAGTCAATGTTTTCAGTCCCAATGGGCTATTTTTTTTTTTTTAAAGAACTGCTGGGTGGGTTTTTGGCAAGGCAAATGACTGCAACAGCCTGTCGGATTCCAGAGCCCTTCTCTAAGCTTTTTCTAGACTCTGCAATATCAATTTTTTTTTTAAATTTCTGGTTCTTTTTCTTTTTTTTTCCCCCCCTCTAATGGGATGTCTTTTCTGCTTCCCTCTTTGGACAAAGAAATGATTTTGGTGCAAGTACACTCCTTCATTGACTCAGCTACATCCATCTGCGTCTAAAAAGAAGGAAACAAACCCAAGATATCTTACACCAAAAACATAGATTTTCTGTCCTTTCTTTAGTAGAAAATTTTTCGTATGCTTTTTTTTTCAGATTGACAGACTTTATTGTTAAATCAAAGAAATTTTTGTGCAAAACCCATATACAAAAATCGTTCCGTTTATTTAAAAGCAACGGCACGTCTTGCTGTTTCCTGGCAACCGGAAGTGGAGCAGAAAGATGCAGCCAAACGGGAAAAGAGACAGAAGAGGCAGGGCTGCAGCTGAGGTACCCCTCCACCCCACCCCACCGTCGCCCTCCAACCCTCGGTCCAGTACAGCACACCCTGCAGACTCTCCACCTGGAAGCCAGAGGCTTAGTAGCTTGTCATCCATGTTTATTGGCAGGTCAAAAAGAACATCAGAAACAGAAGATCCCAGGGAGTAGACAGTTAAAAGCCTGTTTAGATCAGGCTTCAGAGCAGGTCACAGTACACTACTTTCTGCAGCTGTCCTCGTACCCAGATATATGCTAGTTGGAATGTACATTGTGTGATGGTGAAGGGAGGCAGGGCCAAAGGAAGCATTTTTGACCCCTTGGCTGGAGATAACCCACCCAGAGAGCACCCCGTAATGTGGGTACCTGACAGGTTCGTGTTATTGATCTACATCTTCATGCATCTATCTGCTATCACATGGTAGCAAGCTCTCAGATTTAATTTAGATGTTTTTATTAGAGAAATAGCAACGTGTAAGGGTTGGGAATGGATTTTTAAACCCTGCAGTTATTTGGGGTACCAAGTGTGAAGTCTTAAAAAGAAGGTTTCTCAGATGCTGGAGGTTTGTATGCTACAGGTTTAGACAACAAGGAGTACCAGGAAACTACATTTTTTTTTTTCTGTACGAGTGCATTGATAGCAACCTTGAAAACTGTCTCCTGATTTTCTTTATATATCTTTTTTGGGCTTACCTAATCATCCCCCCAACTAATCAGCCTAATTTCTTGATTCCATATGACCATCTCACTCTGGTAATTGTTGTGCACATCTGTATGTATTTATGTTAATTTTATATATTTTATTTCCCTCCCATTAGACCTTAATCTCTTTGAGGATAAGAATCAGTGTAATCTTTATTCTGTATCCCCAAGTGCCTGGGATTGTTTTGTGCATCCTACGTGTGTAATAATGCAGGACACATGCCACTCTCTGGGAAGCATTCCAATGCTAGGTTGGCTTGTTTTATTAACTTCTTTTCCATCTCTTTACTAGTCAGTGCATGGTCAAGAAATGCTCTATCAATTCTAGAATTATATAATACGCTTCAAAAACAAGAGTAAATTAACTATATATTTTCCATGGCTTTGTAGGCAGCAAGATGACATTTAAATTGTAGGTATCTGTTTCTGACCACAAGTAATTATCCAACCTTTAGTAAAGTACACACTTTCTATCCAGTTGCTAAATATGTTCACATATGGTTCTCTTGAGCTGTTCTCTTTGGTTCTCGTTGGAATATTCTCCTGGGCCCTTCACCATTAGCACTTCCTGAAATTTGAGTTGGGTCCCATAGTCAAGGGAACCACACACTAAACAAATTCATCCCGTTTCGGAACGAGGTTCTATGTCCTCCTGTTGCCGGGGGTGACTAGGTTCTTTTCCTGTTGCAGAAAGAATTCAAAGACGGGACTTGGAGGTTAGGAAAGTAAAGTGGGGATGTATTAAGGGATGGACAGTACACTCTCAAGGGGAGAGCGGGCGGGCTCAGGTGAGCAGCTGTCCTGAGTTTCTTTGACAAGTTGGTTACATACAGTGTAACAATGAATGGGCAGAATATTCTTTAGGGAAGGAACAGTTTGGGGCTGTATTCCCTGATTTTTATCCCAACTCCACTTTCCTGAAGGGAGGAGGGAGTTTTGTCCTTATTTAGTCTGGATCAGAAGTGTCCTGATGTCTGTGCCTGATGGATGTTTCTAATCTGCAAGGCTAATTTTATTGAAATGAGAGCATAAAAAGCAAAAGGTTACATTTGGACACTAGAGAGTCCTGCCTTTTCCCACCTTTCTTTGTCGGCCTCCAGGCCACTTGTCACCCCAAAATGTGTGACTGCTTAGCCCAGAGGTTCCGGCTTTTCTTTCTCTGCCCAGGGATCCCCTGTTGTTTACATGGTGCGGGGTTTCCTTTATTTGGCCTCAGCCCCTCCTTTTTGCCCAATTCCTGCCATTTGGCCTGCGCTCCCCCTTTCTCTGCTCGTATCTAGCACTCTGACTGCTCTACTTTACCAAAACTGCCAACTCTCAAAGTTCCAGTCCTCCAATAATGCAAAATCATGGCTCTAGCTCATTATTTCAGCCTCTCCCCAAAACGTTTTACTGGGTTGAAGACTGACTCACTCCTCAGTTCGTTTTCTCCCATTGTAATACTTGGCTCAGTTGGTCCTCGACACATTTGTGAAAGGCATTTCTACAACTTCCCTCCTTCTCCCTCTGCTGCGTGGTCATATGCTGAACCCTGGGCGCCCAGCCTACCTCCCTTGACATACTGCCGGCTGCCTCTCCATGCTCCATGCTCAATACCAACCCACTCTGAGCTTAGCTCTCTCAAGAGCTTCTCCTTTTTCAGCTGTCTTCATGGAAAACAACAACAACAACAACTACTGAATCATTTAGAAATTACCTTCAAGGATATAATACTTTGGAAATATGCACTCCTCTTTTTACCTATTCGACTGTAAGATCTTCCGCCTGGTGCTTCAATTGCATTCATCCATCCGTTGACCTGGGGGTGAGATGAAAATTTGTTGCATAAGGAATTCAGTGAGAAAGATAGGAGCGTCAGCTTTCAACATTAGAAACAGATTCTGAACAATAGGCTGGAGAGCCAACCAGGCATTATCAGGAAAGTTTTCTCCAAATCCCTTCATTGGTCCCTTCAGTTTATGAGCAACTTAGCCTGAAGGGCTTATGACCGGAGACCGCTCCTCCAGCACAGAAGAGATAGCTCTTCTGCTGTGATGTTAGGCAGCTCCATGGCAGCAGAAGGGTGAAATGGATGAGCAGTACAGGAAAAGCCAGCTCCTCGTTGGCCCAGGCATTGTGAGAAGGGAGAAGAAGGGGAAAGAGAGTGAAGCAGTGAAGCAGTCAGACACCTCTCTCCTCGTTTACCATTAGGTTAACTGAAGGGAGCACCAAGAAGCAAGTTGGGATTAGAGAGAAGGCCACCTTAGCAACTGCTTTAAACCAAGCTGGGTCAGTCTCACCAACCTGATAATGCAGCAGCCTTAGGCAGAGAAAGGCTCTGAGGTTGACCTTTTTCTGAGCGGTGCCTGGTCCCATGTGCATAGACAGATTTCAGAAAGAGTTGAGAATCCAGCTAAGAAATGAAAGAAGGGTGAAATGCTTTTGTAGTGTGAGTTGCAGTGCAGACCTCTTAAACCAGGGCCTGATGATAGTCACAGCCATACCTCAGAGGGATCCCGAACACCAACAGGAGCTGTGGTGAGGCAGAGTGAGCCCAGGACCACCGCTGAGCCCCGCCAAGCCCGAGCTAAGACTGACTAGATGGCAAGACTGACCGAAGCTGTTGAGTGCCAGGAGGGCAGACAACACCCGTGTCGACGAGGATGGTATCCCAGAGACAAAAGGAGGGCGCATGGATCCTGAGGAACCTGCTCTTCCTTTAGGGACCTTGAGGTCCCACAAGTCATCCTCCTCCTCCTCGTTTATTCACATCACTGTCTTTATGCAGGGGGAAGGAGACTTCCAAAGATAACGAGAATTTCAAACAAAAAGATGTCAAATACTTCTAAAAGAGATTGTTTAAATTATTGGATCATACTGAATTTTAAATTTGACTGGATTCTTAGTACATTTTTCTCACCTACCTTTTGAAGAACACCAGATTGTTTACTGATAAGATACTGACCCTTATATTTCTCTGCTTTTCTCGTTTGCAGTGTGTGAGTTAAATTTTGTGATTCTCGACACATAATGGCTGAAAATAGCTGCATAATTTGCCTTTTCTCTGTATATGAGTATTTTAATGGGTGATTCTACGAGGTCCAGCTTTGTAAATTGAAGGACTTAATTTTAAAGTTTGGAATAAGAGTTGGCAAACTACAGCCTGGAGACCAAATCCAGCCCAGTTTGTTTTTGTCGATAAAGTTTTATTGGAACACAGCCATGCTCATTTGTTATTATCTGTGGCTTCTTTCTTTTTGTTATGGCAGCAGAATTGAATAGTTGCAACCAAGTCTGTATGGCATGCAAAGCCAAAAATGTTTGTTATCTGGCTTTTTGTGAAAACATTTGCTGACCCCTGGTGTACAATAATATGCTTTTACTGAGCATCTTGTCCAATTCCCTTTTTTAGACAGATGAGGTCACTGAAATCCTGAGAGGTTAAGTGACATGTCCAAGATCATGTGAAAAGTTAGGGGAGGGGGTCAAGATCACAAACCATAGAATTTTAAACATGGTGAAAGGCTAGTGGGGAAATCTCTATAGAGTTGGGTTCCTTTGAAAAGCTTTGTCTTAAATAATATCCCTCTGATGATTATTACATGATTACTACAAACTAAACTCACTAATAAACCCTAGAGGAAAATAAAAATAATCAATGAAAAATTTTTTTAGCCTGTGAAATCCCAGGGGTGTTGTAACAATGGAAGGACTCTCAGTTCAGTCAGTGCACCCCTGACCACACCTGAGACCTGCATTTTGCAACATTCATCTGTTCTCACTGTATGTTAGGTAAGTGAGTCTCAAAGGAGAGTCCAGTGTGTCAGGTTGCACAGTTTGAGGATTTGCAAGATAATCTTACATATTGGTTACTGGGATCCCAAATGAAATTCCAACTAGGAGGGTATCTCTAAACCCTGATCTATTCTAAGGGACTGTCAGAGAAACAAGGGCTACGTAACCTCATGCTGCTTCCTCGTCGCTTGGAGAAACTGGGTCACTGAGGAACAGGACATAGAATGATTGCCAGGTTGCTGCCTCTGTCTCCTTCCTCAGAAGAGTCCTCTCCACCTCCTCTCTCATTTCATCTCCTGATCTCATTCATATTCACTTTTCATCTCCTGCTTTTAGGAGCTGGCCTCGCCACTCTATTGAAATAGGAAGGGCTTTTCAGCGCTTACCTCACTTGACCTCTCTGAGACATCTGACATCACCGTCCACACCCTTTGTAATGATGCTTTCTCCTCCCTTGGCTCATGCCCTGCTCATGTAATTCTCCTGACATGTTGCTTCTCCTCAGGCTCATCCTTCATCTGTCCCCACCCTCAGATGTCGACCTCCGGGTCCTAATCTCTATTCTTCTTCTTCTTCTTCTTCTTTTTTTTTTTCCTTATTCTTGTATATATTCACCTGGGAAATCTCCTGTATGGTCATGGCTTCAACTGCTA